GGGCAAGGACTTCAGGATTAGAGCTATTGTTGTTCAGTTGTTTTTCAGTCGTGTCTGACTCTTCGTGACCTCATTTGAGGTTTTCTTGGCAAAGATACTGGAGTGATTGCCATTTCCTTCTCCAGCTCATTTTACACATGAAGAAACTGAGACAAACAGGGTTGAGTGACTTGGTCGGGGTCACACAGCTTGTAAATGTCTAAAGCCAGATTTGAACTCAAGAAGAGGAGTCTTCCAGACTCCAGGCCCAGCACTCTATCCACTGAGCCACTTAGGTGAAAGGGAATAAGAGCTATGGGTCTGACTGTACTTTCTAAACCAACTATAAGGAAATTATTTGAGGTTAATCTCTTCCTTTTTATTGTACTCCTTGGAATCCTAAATCAAGACAGAAGAAGGAAACCCTAAGGCTGGGGCAGATACTTCCACCCAGGAAAAGTCTGTATGGAATGAGGAGAGCTGCCTGGTCTTTAGAAATGCTAGTGAAATGACTATTTCACTTTGGTCTTTCATAGTGGCATCATGTATTGCTGACCTTTGTTCTGTGATGACCTGACCTGATGGGTCTGGAGGGAAGGGAATAAGCATTTATTAATTACCTACTATGTGCCAGGCACTATGATGAGTGCTTTTTGCAAATATCTCGTTTGCTTCTTGCAATAATCCTGTGAGGTAGGTGATATTATTATCCCCATTTTACATTTGAGGAAAGTGAAGTAGAAAGAGGTTAAGTGACTTGCCCAGTGTCTCAAAGTATAAGGGTTTGAGTCTGAATTTTAACTCAGATCTTCTGCCGCTGTGGCACCTAATGGCCCCCTTCACCAACTGAGGCATGGTGATGAGGCTGTGCATTTGTTTATGGAGAGCTATGAAGTGACCTGTCCTCCAGGTTCCAGATCACCCAATCACCATGGTCCCACTCTGCTTTCATGTACTGTTCTTTATATATATATATATATATATATATATATATATATATATATATATATATATATATATAAACACACACACACACACACACATATATATATTAGTATTAAACATTCACTTTTATAAGATTTTTGAGTTCCAAATTTTTTTTCTCCTTCCCTTCCTCCCCTTCCCACCTCCTCAAGATGGCAAGCAATCTGATGTAGGCTACACATGTACAATCATATTAAAGGTATTTCCACAATAGTCATGTTGTGAAAGAAGAATTGGAACAAAAGAGAAAAACCATGAGAAAGAGAAAACCAAGAAAAGTGAAAATGGTATATTTTGATCTGTATTCAGACTCCATAGCTCTTCCTCTGGATGTGGATAGCATTTTCTATAATGAGTCTTTTGGAATTGTCTTAGATTATTGTGTTGCTAAGCAGAGCTAAGTCTATCAAAGTTGTTCACTGCATAATGTTGCTGTTACTGTGTACAATGTCATCCCAGTTCTACTCACTTCATTCAGCATCAGTTCATATAAGTCTTCCAGGTTTTTCTGAAATCCGCCTGCCCACCATTTCTTATAGCATAACAGAATTCCACTGCATTCATATACTACAACTTGTTCAGCCATTCCCCAATTAATAGGCATCCTCTCAATTTCCAATCCTTTGCCACCACAAAAAAGAGCTTCTATAAATATTTTTGTATATGTGGGTCCTTTTCCATTTTTTGTGATCTCTTTGGGATATAGACCTAATAGTGGTATTGCTGGATCAAAGGGTATGCACAGTTTTATAGTCCTTTGGGCATAGTTCCAAATTGTTCTCCAGAATAAGTGGATCAGTTCACAACTCCACCAACAATGCATTAGTGTTCTAATTTTCCCACATCTTCTCCAACATTTATCATTTTCCTTTTCTGTCATATTAGCCAATCTGGTAGGTATGAGGTGGTACCTCAGAGTTGTTTTAATTTGCAGCTTTCTAATCAATAGTGATTTAGAGCATTTTTTCATATGACTATAGATAGCTTTAATTTCTTCATCTGAAAACTGCCTGTTCATATCCTTTGACCATTTGTCAACTGAGAAATGGCATGTACTCTTATAAAATTGACTCAGTTCTCTATATATTTTAGAAATGAGACATTTATCAGAAACACTGGCAGTAAAAATTATTACCCAGAAAGCTGGGGAATGGTTGCATTGGCTTTGTGCAAAAACTTTTTAATTTAATGTAATCAAAAGTATCCATTTTGCATTTAATAATGTTCTCTATCTCTTATTTGGTCATAAACTCTTCCCTTCTCCATAGATCTGACAGGTAAATTACTCCTTACTCTCCTAATTTGCTTATGGTATCACCCTTTATGTCTAAATCGCATACCCATTTTGGCCTTATCTTGGTATATGGTGTAAGATGTTGGTCTCTGCCCAGATTTTGCCATACTATTTTCCAGTCTTCCCAGCAGTTTTTGTCAAATAGTGAGTTCTCATGCCAGCAGCTGGAGTCTTTGGGTTTATCGAACAGTAGATTACTATAGTCATTGACTACTATGTCTTGTGTACCTAACCTATTCCACCAATCCATCACTCTATTTCTTAGCCAGTACCAAATAGTTTTGATGATTATCACTTTATAATATAGTTTGAGATCTGCTACAGCTAGGTCACCTTCCTTTGCATTTTTTTTTCATTAATTTCCTTGATATTCTTGACCTTTTGCTCTTCTAGATGAATTTTGTTATTATTTTTTCTATTTCTATAAAATAGCTTTCTGTAGTTTGATTCATCTTCATGTACTATTCTTAAATAAAGTATCCAGACCTTGGGAATTTGTATGAGATGTGAACCCTGACTGAAAGGTGAAAGCTTAGACCTGACTAATTCCAATGCTTTTTCAGATAGATGCCCTTCAAAGGCAATTCCATAGCAAAGGCCTAGCTCAGGTGCTAGGCCAATGACTTGGCTCTGTGCTCAGATCAAATGGCCCAGCATGGAATAGGTGTTACTAATACCCATGCTCAACATTAGTAGCAGCCACCACTTTGAAGTAATTAACAGCCATGAATTGGTATTGCCCAATGGAAGGACCCCAGTAACCATCTCTTTGTTTCAGACAGTTCTCAGCTTTATGAAAGCTTATGGAGAGAGATTCTAGACTTTTTCCTTCAACCCAGGTACACGCTAGCAGTTTGGGTCCCCAGAGCTTGGCTACATTTCACCCTCAAGGTTCTGAGGTTACCCCTAAAGTACAGTATTATTGTTTCAAGCTCCTATTACAATATCTTCCTCCTCCCCAATATCATCTTCAGTGATTATTGCTCCAATGTCCTATCTGCATCTCAAATTTAACATGTCCAAAACTGAACACATAATGTTTCCTCCCAAATTCTCCCTGCTTCCAAACTTCCCTATTGCTTTTAAGGACACCACTATCCTTCCAGTCTCCCAGGCTCACATCCTTGTTGTCATCCTTGATTCCTCGCTATTTTTCACCTTCATATCCAATGTGTCAGCCTGTTGATTTTACCTTTGTAACATCTCTCAAGTTTGCTCCCTTCTCTTCTCTGACAGTGCTGCCACCCTAGAGGAGGCCCCCATCAACTCACAACTGAGCCATTGTAACACCCTGCTGCTCGGTCTAGTCTCTCCCCACTTTAATCCATCCTCCACTCATCCTGTAAAGTGATTTTCCTAAAACGTAGGTCCATCCGTGTTACCTCCCCATCCACAACCACCCACACTTCATAATAAACCCTTGTGACTTCCTGTCACCTCCAGGATTAAATATAAAATCCTCTATTTGATGTTCAAAACTCTTCCTAAACTAGCCCTGCCTACCTTTTCTAGTCTTCTTACACCTTACACTTGCCACCCATACTCTTCAACTCAGTGACACTGGCCTTCTTGCTGTTCCTCAAACACGATACTCTTATCTCCCAACTCCAGGCATTTTCTTTTTCTTTCTTTCTTTTTTCTTCCTTTCTTCCTTCCTTCCTTCCTTCTTTCCTTCCTTCCTTCCTTCCTTCCTTCCTTTCTTCCTTCCTTCCTTCCTCCCTTTTTCCTTCTTCCTTCCTTCCTTCCTTCCTTCCTTCCTTCCTTCCTTCCTTCCTTCCTTCCTTCCTTCCTTCCTTCCTTCCTTTCTTTTTTTCTTTCCTTCTTTCTTTCTTCCTTTCTTTCATTCAGAATTAAGTGACTTGCCCAGGATAACACACCTAGTAAATGTCTAAGGTTGAAGTGTGAATACAGTTCCTCCTGACTCCAAAGCTTGTCCTCTATCCACTGTACCACCTAGCTGCCCCCACTGGGCATTTTCATAGCTGTCTCTCCATAGCATAGATGCTCTCCCTCTTCATCTCTGCCTCCTGGCTTCCTTCAAGTCCCAGCTAAAATCTCACCTCCTACCAGAAGTCTTTCCTAATCCCTGTTAATTCTAGTACCTTCCCTCTATTTACTGTTTCCTATTCATGCTGTATATAGTTTCTTTGTACATGGTTATACAAACAAGAGGAAACTGGTAGCTCAGTGGACAGAATGCTGGGCCTGGAGTCAGGAAGACCTGAGCCCAAATCCAGCCTTAGACACTTACTAGCTGTGTTACTCTGGGCAAGTCACATAGCCTCTGCCTGCCTCAGTTTCCTCAACTATAAAAAAGATCACAATAGCACCTACCTTGCAGGGTTGTTGTGTCAAATGAGATAATTTGTACTTGGCACATAGTAGGCTCTATATAAATGCAATATTCTCTTCTCTTCCTTAGTTGTTTACATGTTGACTCCCACTTTAGATTGTGAGTTCCTCAAGGACAGGGACTGTCTTTTGCCCTTCTTTGTATCCTCAGCAATTAAGGCACATAGTAGGTATTTAAAAATGTTTATTGACTGATTAACCTAATGTTTCAGATTTACTCAATATCATTGGTAAGCAGTTAATATCAATGAGTTTCTACAAAAGGATATTTCCTAAGAAGATATACCAAAAACATTGCTTTGAACTGGGATACACTCTCCCTTTTATACCTCAGTTCCTACAGAAAGTAGGCTCAAATTTAAATTTACATAGACACTCTTCCTACCACCAAGTTCCTTTCCAGATACGGCACTACCAATAGACAAGTCGCTCCCTTGCTCATACGATACAGCATCTCTTGGCTGCCGAATTGTTCCACTGTTGGGCTGGGTCAAACAGGTTGCTCCTCAGAGCTCTGTCCTCCACGGGGTTGGTTGATAGCAAGCATGGTTTCTGAGCCTCTGATGACTTTTTTGATCTTCCTTTTCCTGGTTGGATTTATTTCTTACCGTCATTTGCCTAAAAACAGGAAAGAATGAAACACAGCAGACAGAAAAACAACAGCACCATGTATTCAAAACTATTGGGTAGAGAGGTAAGGGTCCAAGGTTGCTCCCCCATCCAGATGATCACAGCAGTTCTTGCCTCATTTGACTACCAGGAAAGAAAACCAAATCTGTCCTGTTCATGCCTTTGTTTTTTGGTTTTTGTTTCGTAGGTTCCTTCTTTTCTGACTTAGCAGACAATTAAAAGGTTTTCCATTATCACGTAGCAAGTAGACAGGAAAGAGTCACTGAACACCTACACATGCTCTGAAGCAGGCTCACCAAACCCTCCATATGGGTTGACAGTAGATAGAGCTGAGGGTGCACATTCGAGCGCTGGACCCTCACTGGCCATGTTTATCAAGAGGCTCTCACCTTCATTGGAGTCAGGTGCATTTTTAAAATGTATGACTCACTTTTATGATCTTGTATAAGGTTGATTTCTGAATGGTGGAATCAAAATCAGTCCCTACACCTAACCCAGTGTGTCTTAGGGATCATTGAGGTTAAGTAGATATAGTTTGATTATTAGTATAATAGTTTATCCAGGTAGAATGGAAGAACCCTCTTCCTGGTGTTCTTTCTAGCTTGGTCAAGTCTTCCTATTAAGAATTCTCCTCCTTCATCTCTACTTTAACCTCTCTCCTCTTACCCCTCTACCCCCAAAGGCAGTGTGATATGTACTTAGGTTCCCATGGAATAATTCATATTTTTTGCTTTTAAGATGTAGAAAGGAAAAGTTGCACATAGGAGCTCTACTTCTAAAATGCACTCCTGCCTTTGAAAAAGGGGACCTTGGGCTTAGCTCAGAACCTACCATCCTCCCTTTAGATCATGTGCCAATTATGTTCATGATGACATTTGTTACAATTTCTTCCCTGTCATCTGTTGGCAGGGTAGGTGTAAATCTCCTGCTGTCTCCCACTGGACTCGGGCAACAGAGTTGTACTTAATGTCCTTTAAAAATTGAGAAAAAATCACAAAAAAGTAAAAAACAAAAGAAACTTACCATGCCACTGCCTCCATAAGGAAAAGATTCTATGCCAGGGATGATAGAGAAATATGATGGCAGGGCCTCAGTTCTCAACTTTTGATCTACCTGGGTTCAGTAATGCTTCCTCTAACACATAGTTTTACAACCCTGCAAGGCAAATAGGACAAGTATTATTATTCTCATCTTACATATGAAGAAACAGCCCCATAGAGGTTAAGTTACTTGTCCAGATGAATACAGCTCGTGTCAGAGACAGGATATGAAATTAGCTTTTCTGGTTTCAAATTCAGCATGTACAGATGAGGAGGAAATACTCCCAAGAGTGCCTTGGCCAGGGTCACTCATTCACAGGAGGCATACCTTTAGTTATCAAAAGCATTTGTTGGATTCTTGAAGATCAATAAATGCTACTAAATTCAAAGCCTAAAAAAAAAATGAAAAATGAAACATTGTTTTAGATGTTTGTTGGTAATTCTTCCCTGATGTTTGGCCCTTCTCATGCAGTCATTGAAAGTCCTCAGCATAAGACCTGTCCAGGGTATTGGACTGGGGTAGGGGTAGGGGTACAAATGAGCTAGAAACCAAGATCTCTAATCTTGGGGAATTTATAATTTAGTTGGGAAAGAAAGAAGGCCTACACATGAAACATAAGAGAAGACATTTTAAAAGCAGCTCATCTATGAGTAGAAATCAATAGACAGCAAACTCCTGTTTAATCCAGAATCATAGAAAATTAGAGTTACAAGAGACCTTGGAGTCTCATGAAGTCCAAATTCCCACTCAGTACAGAAATATTTTCTATACCATAATAGTAAGCATTTTGACATCTATTATCTCATTCAATTCTCAGAACAACTCTGGGAAGCAGATGCTATTATCATTCATATTTTGCAGATGACAAAACTGAAGCATGGGAGTGGTGGTAGTAACAGTGGTGGAAGTGACTTACCTAAGGTCACACAGCTAGGAAGTTTCTGAGGTAAGATTTGAACTCAGGCCTTCTTGATTCCAAGTCTAGCACTGTGTCAGCTGATTAGAATCATCCATCTTCTGATTAAACACTTCCATGGGTAAGGAGGTCATGACTGAAAAGCAAGTCAGTCTTCTTCATTGTTGGACAGCTCTAGTTATGAGAAAGTTCTTATTATGAGTTGAAATGCCCTAATAACTTGCTCATTGGTCCTGGTTCTGCAGCACAGAACAAGGCTATTCCTCTTACATGACAGCTCCTTGAAATAGGAAGAGAGTTGTCACAGTCCACTCCCTTCAATGTCCCTTCCCACCACCCAGGTTAAATGAAGATCTTCAGCTTCCAAACAAGGAGAAAGCTCAAATTATCAGATTAGGTTTGGGATTCCCCTCATCCCCACCCCAGCATCGTGTGTGATCAATGTGAGCAAAGGGACTGTTCTGTGGGGCAATGCATTATCTTGAAGGTTGAGACAGATAGACAGACAGACAGAGATAGATGACAGCGATAGAATGATGGATAATAGATGATGGATGATAGCTGATAGATACAGATGATAGATAACAGATTAGATAGGGAGATATAATCTATATTAGAGATATAGATGATAGATAAATAATAGATAGAGATAGAAAGATGGTAAAGAGATAGATACAAATAGAAACATACAGATAGATGATAGATTTAGAGATATATAATAGAGATATAAATGTTAGATACAAAGAGATAGATGATAGATTAAGATAGAGAGCTACAGACAAATAGGTAGATGATAGAAACAGAAATGGATGACAGAAAGATAATAGAGAAATTATTGAAAGAGGTAGATGATAGATACAGATAAATAGATGACAGATTAAGATAGAAATAGTGAGATAGATGATAGCTACAGAGATAATATATGTTTGATGATAGATATAGAGATGATAGATAGATAGACAGATAGATAGATAGATAGATAGATAGATAGATAGATAGATAGATAGATAGATAGATAGATAGATACTTTATTTAAATATTTGCTAAATGTGTAAGGCAAGATGTATAAGCACCTTCAGGGTGCTTATCTCCAGTGACTTGCATAGTAATTGGCATACAGTAGGCACTAAATAAATGTCTATCAGCTGGTTGATTTACTTGAACAGGGAAGAGAAGGGGATGAGGTAAGAACTACTATGTTTGGTAACAGGGAACTAGAGGAAGATATTCAGGGAGCAGCCTGAAATCTCTCTGAATTCAGGCAGCTGGAAGAGATATTTAAGTTTGAGCCATACCTATGATTGCTGCTCTGAATATAACTTGAATCCAGAGAAATTCTTGTTCTTCTGAAGAAGTGGCAGTATTATATGGTTGGAATATCGGGGATAATCACATAATACTTGTGTAATTTTCCCCTCCCTTGGCTTCGCTTTCTTTACCTGTCAAACAAAACGGTTGGACTAGATGATCCCTAAATTCCCTTCCAGATCAAATTGAATAAGCCTAGTTTGAATTGCATTCAACAGACAGCTAATCTGAGCATGTATTGCTGTTGATGGTAGGCTATGGGGCACAGGGAAGCCCACTAAGTTTCAGGTAGTGGTGATGAAGTCAAGAAGTCTGATGACTTTTCATCATACTTTGTTGAAAGTCTCTTAACGAATCCATGAAAATAAACTTGGGCCCATCTGCCCAAGACTTTTTAACAATCTTAGGCAGCTGGCCTAAAAGAGTGTGAACTACCTCCATCTCACTCCTTCAATTCCTTTCTACTGTATTCTGACAGGATTATGTGTTGAGGGGAAAAAGTCTGAGGGGTGCTGCTATAGAAAGCCATCCAAGGGCTCTGGCTAGTCCAGCAGGCAATAGGTAGGCGTAAAAATGGCTAGAAGAGGAAGGACCACCACAGAATATGAGGAGGGACCAAGCCAAATTTCACTGTTAAATGTTATTTTTCTTTCTGCTTTATAATTTTTGGAAAAAACTTATAAGAGCATGGCAGTGCATTTCATAGACTCCTAGAATGTCAGAACTGGAAAAGAGACCTTAGGGGTAGCCACATATGGCCCTCTACATCCTCAAATGCCTTTTGGCCCTTTGACTGAATCCAAACTTTGAAGACCAAATCCCCTCAATAAAAGGATTTGCTCTGTAAAACTTGGAGTCAGTCAAAAGGCTGCACCCAAACCTAGAAGGCTACAGGTTCCCCACCCCTGATTAGTCCATCCCCTTAATTTTACAAAGGAAAAAAACCCAGAGAGAGGAAGTAAGTGACTTGCTTAGGGTATACTATCCACCATTTAGGTCTCCTCAACCCTGCTTAGATGTGGATTAGCCAAAGTTAAAGATGACTAGCCTAAAGTATTCACATACTTGTCTAGCCTTCTACTACAGAGTGGTCCATTAAATTATCTTTTGGTCAAAATTATGAACGTCATTACAGAATGAATTTATTTCATGTTGATGGTGTTAACATAGATTTTTTTGTTGTTGTTCAGTCATGTCTGACTCCTCATGACCCCATTTGGGGTTTTCTTGGCAAAGATACTAGAATAGTTTGCCATTTCCTTCTCCAGCTCATTTTATAGAAGAGAAAACTGAGGCAAACAGGATTAAGTGCCTTGTCCAGGGTCATACAGCTAGTAAGTGTCTGAGGCTAGACTTGAACCCAGGGAGAGGAACCTTCCTGACTCTAGGCCCAGAACTCTATCTACTGCACCACCTAGCTGCCCCTATGTCAATATAGGACTAAAGACCAAATGTGAATTACTTTGGGGAGTACTTTGAGAATATCCTAGTGTGAGTAGAGGCCACAGAGGGAAAAATAAGTGGAATCCAGTTGTAAAAGGGAGATAGAGAAGGGAGTGCTATAGAGCATCTGAAGACATTTTGAAATTTAATTTTTCGATTACCTCAAATCTGTTTTCTTCCTCCCAGTCCCACCCTACATTGAAAAAAGAAACAAAAGAAAACATAAAAGTCTGTAACAGATACACATAGTCACAGGAAAACAAATTCCTACATTGGCCATGTCTCATTCTACATCTTCTGAGTCCATCACCTCTCTGTCAGGAGCTGGGTAGCTTACTTCAACACTGATCCTCTAGAATGATGGTTAGTCAATGAATTAATCAGAGTTCTCAAGTCTTTCAAAGCTATTTGTCTTTATGGTATTCTTGTCCCTGTATAACTTGTTCTTCTGGTTCTGCTCACTTCACTCTGTATCAATTCAAACAAGTCTTCCCAGGTTTCTTTGAAATGGTCAGTTCCACAATTTCTTACAGCACCATAGAATCGCATTATGTTCATATCCCATTTGTCAGGCTGTTCTGAAGCTGATGGACACACACACACACACACACACACACACACACACACACACACATACACACACATCAATTTCCAGTTAACTGCCACTACAAAAAGAGCTGCTCTAAATATTTTTATGCATTATGGTTCCTTTTATTTTCTCTTTGGGGTACAGACCAAGTAGTGATATCTTGGTATCAAGCAGTATATGTGAAACTTTCTGACAGTCTCTGACCTTCAAATACAAAGCCCTGCTAGGAAGCCAACACTGAGAGCAATGGACACTTGGCAACAGGCAGGGGAGGAGTTCAGTGAGTGTGAGCTACTAGGAAAGCAGAAGCAAAGAGCAGGGAAAAGCAGCAGTGGGAGCAAGAAGGAGCTAGTGGTTGATGGCCTTTCACATACGATATTTCATGGTCAGGCTGTCAGCCCTCCTGGCTTCCTACATTGCTCTGGCCTTTGGTTTCAGGCCACCAGGGCACCTGGATAAAGGATAGAAGACTAGATCCAGCCAGTGTGCGAGTAGGTCTGGGGAGATGAATAAAGCAGCCAGCAGGCCTGCCCCCTGGATGCCTCCCAGCGTCTCCCAGGACATTAAGGTTCTGGGGAAGATGTCTTTTTAAAGCACAGAACAGAAATTGGCATTGGGAATTCTTATTGAAGCAGATTAGCGAATGTGGAGGGTGGGTGGGGGGTGGCAGGGCCCAGAGTAAGAATGTTATCACAAAAACCTGATTTTTCTACACCCTCTATCAGTTCTCCATCTGTTCCTTGATTAAATGCATTGCGGAGCTCCCTCCCCATGCACCCGCTGCCGGAGATGTCTCCAGCGCCTTGATTGCATCTGTGGAAAGGGCCTCAAACCACACAGATGAGTGGCCCTATCGATCACACACAGATGCTTGGCAGCTGATGTTTGTTTTAAAACCTAGAGGAGGGAGCTTGCTTGGGTGGGGGTGGAGGGGAGGGGAGCAAGTCTTTCTTTACCCCCAAAAGAAAAGTCGTGTATACTTAGCTGATGGAAAGCCCGTTTCTTTGTTGATTATCACCTTAATTGTGATCAATCATCGTTGAGAGGCTTAGAGGCTAGAGTGCCAGACCTGGAGTCAGGAAGACCCCAACTCAAATACCAGCAGGGATATTTACAAGCCTTCTGAACCCTCAGTTTTGTTACCTGAAAATGAGGATATTAATGTCTGTGTTACGGAACTTACTGGGATATTGTAAAGCTCAAATGAGATGATATTTATATAATTCTTTGAATACCTTAAATAAATATTATATAAATAAATGTCAGTTATCATCATAATCAACTTTATTGTTATGTGACCTGGATTCAGAAGACCTCTGTCCAAATCTCTGCTGTGGTCTTTGGCGCTTGACAAAACTGACAAACTATTAGCCTTCTTACCTTTAGCTATAAATTGGGAATAATATTACCTTCTTCTCACAGAATCAAATGTACTAATGTGAAAGCATCTCATAGCTATAAAGTCTTATAGGTAAATATAAGTTATTATTATTAAGATTTTATTATCATCACTACTTCAACTTTAAACCCATATTCCATCCACAATTACCAGCTTGGGATGTTGTGTTAGGCACAACTCAAAATGAATTATTCAGACACAATCTTTGACCTAAAAACACTTTGAGTGTGAGCTTTCCTTGTCTCTTAAAGACTATCCTGGGTCATTTTAGTTTATTTGAGTCCAGTTTGGAGAAA